ATTTCTATTTTTATGATATACTAAATAATGATCATTGTATTTGAATTCAATAATTTAAATTGAATGAATACAATAATCATGTTTTTAAAATATTCTTTTATTCTATTGCCCTCCTTTCCATTTATATTTGTCCAAAAATATTTGTCTAACCAAAATTTTAAATAATAAACGTCCTAAAATATCCTTGATTGATAAAGAAAATAAATATTTTTATATTTTTTCTTATTCATATAAATACTTTTTAGAATAAAATTTTCAAAGGGATTTTTTTTATTACATGAAAAACATTCATTCATATCGGGACTTACTCGCATGACAAAATTTTGAGAGTAAATGTTTTTATTAGTATATTATTTTTTGGTAATTGTATTAAACTTGATTGTTAATTAACTTAATAATTTTTTTTAAAAAAAATTACCACCTTAATTTTGCATAGATTTTCTTCTTAAATTAATACGTATAATACATGAATAAATTTGACAATTAACAATTTTAACAAAAAGGTATTTTAGGAAAGTAATCTAGTGATTCACATGGCATCATCAAATGATACAAGTCTTAGATAAGAATCTACAATGCACTAAAATGCCTTTGTTGATGATCCTTTACTCCGATAGTATCTAAGGTTTCTCAAATAATGTGATATCTCACAACGAATAAATCTTTAACACTTAGAATAAAAAATTCTAATATGACATAACAATTAATAGTTTTCTTAAAATGTGTGAAAATTGAAAAAAAAATCTAATATGACATAACATTTTTTTTGTACCATTGAACTTCTCTAATTTCCCATGCATTTCTTCATACTTGATCTGCCTATAAATATGGATTAAAACAACCTCATCTCCTCAGTGTTGCAATCTATAATCATCTAAGAATTACTTTGTTTCAGCAAACGATTAGGTAGAAGAGAAGAAAATGGCAATGACTTTTTCCAAGATGGCATTTTTGGCCTTCCTTTTACTGGCAGCATCATGTTAGTCTCTCTCTCTCTCTCTCTCTCTCTGTTCTCTCTTATGATAATAATAATAATAAATATCATGAATGTGGGCTCGTAATTGATGAAATAATATTTGCTTGCATTTGCAGGTATTTTGGTGTCAAGTGTAGCTGGAGCAGATAGAATTGCTCAAGCTGCTTTATCCTGCAAAACCGATGCTGATTGCAAGAAATACCCTATTGCGTGTCCAGGTTTTTACAAATGTTTTCAGAATAGTTGCAGATGTATCAGTTAGTTAAAGATAAATCACCTCGGTTTGAGCTTGTAAAAGCCATGGTAATGACTGCCAATGTCTTCTTTACTCAGCCTTATGAGCTGTCTTGTGAGAAGGTGGTGTTGTTATCCGAATTCAATAAATTTTGTTACTTTTTAGAATAATGCTTATTTATTTTACCAATTTATCACTCCATAATATACCAAGCAATTATATTCTCTCTTGATCAAATTGCATGGGTTCTACCGAAACAAATTAAAATGATAAAATACCATTTTGATTTTTGTATTTTTATTCCAAATCTTTCATTCCTGATAATCAAACAATAACTAATAATTATAATGAAAATTAAAATAAGCGGAAGCTACTGTAGAAAAAAAACCAAAAAGCATAGATAGCTTACTGGATACTATATACCATCAATGAATTGGTAATTAACATGCATGTAGCTCTATATGTTACTTCAATTTTCAAAACATTTCGTCCGACTAGGGTTATAGTTTTATAAAGAAATTGCGAAAAATGATTGAAAGATATCTTATTTTGAAGATCAAGAAAGAAATGTTTCCATGGATGGATGAATGAGTACAAAAACATATCAAAATGGAGTTGGGCCATCTTAAAATTTCGAAAGTCTGATTAATCAAATTTTTCCATAGCAAGAATATCATCAAGCTACTTTGCACATTAATTAAAATTAATTTTCGAGATCAGAAAATTTGGACTTGGAAATGGAGGGTGCGCCAGGGCCTTGCAGTAGTGCAACGCATGGGCGACGCTCGAGGATCCCAGCAGCAAGCTACTGTGGTAGATCCTCCCCTTTAAAAAAGTAATTTAATATCGTGTGAACCATTGGTCTACATATCAGATATTAAACTGATAAGAACAGATACTACACTTGATCTTAGCCAAAAGGCCGAGAAAGGTATGCTTTGGAGCATGCAGAAAATTGCGTTTTATAGCTGCAGCTCTCAACATTTGCTTCTGGTTTATTGATGTCGGATACAAGCACCTACCTCTTTATCTTTTTCACTCCTTCTTTCGAGTCCTTTTGTATCAAAAGCTTTGTTTCTACTGCTGCATATCTTTGTATCAAAACATGAATGCTTTGTCTCCCATTCATTGTTTCTCTCCTTCGTCTTCGCTTCATCTTCTCCTTGTTGCTACTTCTTCTCTTCTCCATATTTCGCAGTCAAATCTGGGTTCTTTCTTAATGAAAGTGTGCTGCATTTACGTGTGGGAAACATGAAGAAAATATCTATCTGATGTCCTCAACTTAATACTTGGGAATGTTCTCTGCCACTCCTTGTGTCTTCCATTTTGCTCCTTCCATCCATTGCCATATATCCTCACGCAGCTAAGCTTTAAGCTTTTTTTTTTTTTTCTCCTCCCTTGCTAACACCAGATGTGAACCTTTTCTGGTATATTCACCTGTCTTGTACATCTAAAGATGCAAAATAGTATGGGAATAAATTGTGGTAGTAATTGGTAGATAATTGCAGAATGAAAATGCGAATAGTTAGCATTTCTCATGGGAGGAAGAAGAACGAGACAGATTTGCTCTTGATTAACATTAAAAGTAGAATGGGCCAGCCTTTTGTTTTATTTTGGGCTTTTCAGTGTTTACTAACTTGTTCCTTCCTTGCTGGGCTTAGAAGCATTTTTTGCTATTCAACTTTTTCTGGGCTTTCTTTAAGTCCTCTGCATTCCAATCCTGCCTTCCTTCCATCCAATTTTTTTTTTTTTTTTTTTTTGTCAGGCTAGACAGAGAGAGAGAGAGAGACACTTGGAGCGAGCTGAGCTCGGTTTGGCTTGGAATTGAGCCAGCCTGAGCGAGTACATAGAGTAGCAATACTAAATTGGAGTGGTAAGAATAAATTTGAAAGGATGATTAGGGGTTAGAATAGAATGATAAAGATAAATTTAAGTAAGTGGCTGGTTAAGAAGTAAATGAATTGATAAGTCCAAAATTCAGCAATCGCCCATGGACAGAAGTACAGTCGCAATAACAAATTTAAGTGGCTGGCCAAGAATTAAAATGATTAACAAGTTCAAAATTAAGTAGCTGGTCCGGGATCAAAGTAGTGTGGTAAGAATAAATTTGAGTAACTACAACTCATTTTATGAATTTGCCTTTTTTTTTTTTTTTTTTAAGAATTCCTTGTATTTTGATGTGTATATAACTCAATTGATCACCACTTAAGAATCTGAATCTAAAGAGAAATTTTATAATACACTAGGAATAACTACTATAACTAGTGGTATATACGATAGTTATTCCATAGAGCTAATTTTGAGGAGAGAGGTAGACATGTAAAAAGAGAGAAAAAACAAGAGAGAGAAAATAAAAAAATTTGATCATACGTGAAATCTTTTTAATACTTTTGATGGATATAGATATAATTTTTATCTTTTTTATGTGTCTATCTCTTTCTTCAAAGTAGACTACGTAAGTAACTACTGTATACTGTCACTAAGAGTTACAGTGTATTATAAAATTTCTCGAATCTAACTTCAATTAAGAATCTGAATCGTAGCCAGAATCCGAATATGGAGGCAGAAGACTTCTTGACATGTTTACTTACCACCTTTATGAATAGACAGTCATCCTCAGCCTCTTTCTTCCAAAGTTGCATCAACTCAAAATCCTTGTCAGGAATTACTCAAAATCCTCAGCCTTCCTCTTCTCGAGCTCCTTTTCATACTCTGCTCGAGTCATTACATTTCTATAATCCTCTTCCTTCTTCTCACTCTTTACCGATTTATCATCAGCTTAATTCACATTTCTTCTCTTGTTGGCGCGTCTTCTTCTTCTTGGACTTCTTCGAAGTCTTAGAATCTTTTTGTTTATCACCACCAGCAGCAGCAGCAACATTATCCCTGTGCGAAAAAAAAATATAGGAAAGTAAAATCTGTGGTTACGAATGCAATCATTAAATCCTATGGAAGAACACAGTCAATTATAACACTGCATATATAAATCCATGCCATTAACATCTAATTATTAAATACATAGTGAAACCAACAAAAACAAAAGTAACATGTTAATCATGATCGAAGGATATAGTTTGTCTTTCCTCAAGCTTTGTTTCTTCGTATCCTAAACGCTGAGGACAAATCTGGATGGAAGAATATGCCATAAACATGTAAACTGTATTAGCTAATGTCCAGCAAATTTGGTGGCTATGTAATGATCCTTTTTTCGAATCCTTCATAGGTTGCATCTTTTGGCCAAACCAAATTGTTCGGTTGCTTAGACAAATTAGGGTTCTATAAGAAGAGAGAAAGAAAATTAAGGGAGAGCTTATCCATCCATCCAATAAACCGAAGATCTTCAACCTCACCGGTCACCATATATGTGTTATAGTTAATGAAGAGTAACTTGGGATTTGTTCTTGTAACTTTTTTATGTTCTAAATCAAATCCTCTTTACTTGAGCAGGAGCAGGATACTATGTTGTGAGGTTGCAAACTTGTTTTTCTATTTAATTTCTTGATTTTAAACCCAGAATAGGTTTACAGTATATTCTCAAATCAATCTAGCTAGATTATTTTCAGAATCCATGTATAAAACACTTAGATAACCAAATTAACAAGGGATTGTTATCCCAAACACTAATGCTTATCATAAATTTTGAAAGACATGGTCATTATAGTTTCAAGAAATTAAAACAAATTTAAGATGATCAATAACCATTTAATTATTCTTGATAAAATCACCCAAAAACGGTTGAAGAAAAAAGAACAACGGGCTACAAAATTTTTCTCAGAGGTTCCAAAAACTTCATGCTTTTCTGGCTGTTCCAAGGGCAGGAAATTGATTGGTATCTTCAACGTCAGGAAATTTCGTTGTATCCTTAAGGGTTAGGGCAGGAACTGGTCCATTGCGTTTGTAACTGAATGAAGGAGGCCTTTTGCCTTGATCTCTATTAGGCCCCTTGCTTTCCCCTCTACCGTAGGGCTTTTCTCCATCACCGCCATTACCTTGGCTGCTGTTAGGCCTCTCCCCGTTGCATCTGCGGCCACCATTGCCACTATCGGGTCTTTCTCCATTAAACTTCTGGCCAGCATTCGGTCTTTCTCCATAATATTGAGGGGCATCAACAGGGCTCTCTCCATTAATGAACTGTCGGCCACCATTAGGCCTCCGATTCTCATGCCTATACCCGTTACTGGGTCGCTTACTCTCATGTCGAGGATGACCATTAGGTCTTTGGCCACCTCGCTGAAAGCCACCGTTATGCCTTTGGCTCTCTTGTTGTGATGCAAGATGGGCGCTCTTGACATGTTTACTTACCACCTTGATGAATAGGCCATCATCGTCACTCTCTTTCTGCAAAAGTTGCATCGACTCAAAATCCTCGTCAGGAGTTACCTTTCTCTCTTCGGTCTTTTGGTCAGGTTCCAAAGCGTTGTCAAGAGTTTCTTCTTTTCTCTCTTCATCAGTCTTTTCGTCAGATTTCAAAGCCTTCCTCTTCTCAAGCTCCTTCTCATACTCTGCCAGAGTCATCACGTTTCTATAATCCTCTTCGTTCTTGTCACTCTTTACAGATTTATCATCAGCTCCTCGTTTCGTCTTGTTGTCCTTCTTCTTTTTGGATTTCTTCGAATTCTTGGAATCAACGACATTATCTCTGTGAAAAGTAAAATTAGTAAAGAATCCAATAACAAGAACACAACTAAATCATTAAACAATTATATAAATTAAGTAAACAAGAAATACGTGAGATTAACAAAATCAAACATACCCTTCAGCTCCATTGTCCTTGTTATCACCATCAACCTTCTCTGCCCCATCACCACCAAGGTCCTTTCGGGAGAGATTACTCTTCTTATCATCACTGCTAGCTGGTTGCTTTGCTTCCCTGCCATGGTCCTTCTCCGAGACATTAGACCCTTCACCGTGGTCCTTCTCCGAGATATTAGACCCTTCGGTACCATGGTCCTTTGCTTCCTTCTTAGATGCTGCACCATTGTAGCGGTTCTGATCTTGTTGTCTACGATTCGCCGAGCTCCTCGATTCTGAAAAAATTAAAGATACTAGTCCTCGGAAAGACATGACAATTGTTCATAATACTATTGCATGATTTAGGGTTCAAACCATGCTTGTTTAAGATTCAAGAGAAGAGAGACTTAAAATCCATACACAAACTCAGACGAGGAATTGGTTAAAACCAGCAAAAAGATTAATTGCAACTTTTTTTGCTACAAGATCAAGTAATACAAAAAACAAACAACTAGAAGAATGAAAACTTCGACTACAACGAATTAAAGAAAACAAGGCAAGAATATTATCAAGGAGAGGAACAAATTACGTACGATGATGAGGAAACTTGAAAGGCAAGACTTGCATGAACATGTTAGTCAGTTCAGATTGTTTTCTCTCCCTCTCCTCTTGTTCCTTCAACTTCTTTTGCTTCTCCATGAAAATCTTTTGCTCCCTCTCCTCTTTTTCCATCGACTTCTTTTGTTTTTGCATCAACTTTGGTGTATTGATGATTGTCGAACCCTCAACCTCTCCCTCGCCATCACCCTTTAATAAGGAGAACATGTTTGTAGCAGTCTCCATGTTTAGGGTTTTGGTTGAGGGAATAGAGTTCTTGGTATTAAGGTACAAAAAGAGAATCGCACTGTATTTATAAGAAGGAAGGGAGGACATTGTCCACCGACCTAAAAGAAACCTAATTAATTGTTTTTTATTTTAACTTGATCTACAAGCAAGCTGCTTTTTTCCCCCTGTTTAGCTTTCACAATAAATTAAAATTTTCTTTCCGCTTGTATTAATTACGAACATGGTCCTTAAATAGCAAACATAGTCACAATTAGATTCATAAATATACATTTTTTTTTCCTATTGAGCATTCACAATAAATTAAAATTTTTCTTTGATCTTGTATTACGAAGATGGTCCTTAAATTGTAAACATTTGTCACAATTAGGTTCATAAATATACATTTCAAAATTAGGATTTTTTTTCCTATAATTAAGTTACGGATTATACGGCCCCTGTGGAAAGACTGTGTAAATTGTAAATTAGTCCCTTTAGTTTTGAAATACAATTGATTAATTCTCTTCGTTTTAAAAATTAATAATTTGCTTTCTATGCTTTTAAATCTACTTATAATTTAATTTTTTTTTCCTTTATTTTAATGAAAAAATTAGTAAAAAAATTATAAAGAAATTGATGAGAAAATAAAATATTTTTTAGAACAAAATAATATTAAAATAATATTATCAATACTAATCAAGAGATTAAATAATTAATTTTTAAAACAAAAAACACTAATCAATTTGTTTTTCAAAACTTGAGGGACTAATTTATAATTCGCTTCTGGAAGATTGGAAATTGGGTGGGAGGAGACTAGATCGTGATTTCAATAGTGTTTAGGGGTAGTTTGGTCATTACGAAAAAGCGTAAGTAACACTTTTGCTTGAATTTGCAAGAAAGGTTCATTTCAATAAGCATAGAATATGTGCAAAACATGATGCCACTGCCATCTCCAAAAAAAAAAAAAAACACTTCAAAAAACACAGATTGAGAAGCATTACAACATTGAATTTCATTGTCTTCACAGCAAATAGCACAAACAAAATAGCATTTCTTTTACTTCTGATCACCACTATTGATCATTCTTCTTATCTTCGCAAGGAATATTAAGTCATCGGAGTTGCTATCCCCCTCAACGCACAAATTTGGCTATATAGACAACGAATTACAAATTACCACACCCCCTCCCTCCCCAACAATCAACAACTTCACCCTTGAGTACAGGATTTATTGCATTATCGCAACCACGGAGCGGAATTCAACATTAAGGTGATGGCAGAATTTTCCCAGAGCATGTGCCAAACCCCACGTTGTAACCATCTCCCTGCAATGGATTCATTTTCAAGGGATGTTTGAATTTTACATGATACAAAGGAGTGGAGTGCAGTGAAAATGAGTTTGTTTGAAAAACACATAACATAACAGGTATGTAAAACTGTTTGTTTAAAACAAGGCAATGCTAATTAGATAAGTTGCAAAGATCTATTTTTGTTCACAGGTAAATTAAAGATTATAGCTACATAGAGGAAATATCTAATAAGCCAAAGAGGGTTACAAGAAAAGATTTCGTGACTGTTGAATAGATGAAGAGATTGTAAGAAACAAATGCATGAGTTCTTTGTTTATGGATGTGAAAACATGTCTGGAAATGCTTGAGAAAAATGAGCAAGGAAAGAACCTTGGAACATCCACTGAATATGACTTCATCTCCATCTTCAAGGAATTTCCGTGTCGTCCCTTTTAGTGAGAGTGGCTTTTGTCCATTCCATGTTAGCTCTAACAAGCATCCATAAGATTCTGGCTCCTGTTTGGTAATACAAGGGGTAGCTGTTGTTCAGTACGTTTTCCATTACAAAATTATAGAAGGCAACAAAACTGGAATTTTAGGTATCTCTACTATATCAAAATTTAATAAGATTGAAGCCCTACTGGTCCACTGATTGTCCCAGTTCCAAGTAGATCCCCTGGCCTTAAGTTGCAACCATTTATTGTATGGTGTGCAAGCTGTTGAGTCACTGTCCAATACCTGTTATGCAAATAAAAGTGATATAGCAGCAAACTCAGAACACAATTAGAAATAAGAATACAGACAATATGTGTCCTTAAATAATATGATTTCTTATTTAGACAGAAAAGCCTATATAATAATTCGGTAGTTGCTGGGAAGCAGCCTCTAAAAACAGAATCAACAGTGACATGGGTTTTTAGTGTTATAGGACAACTGATCGATTTTTCACTATACAGGTAATGACACCCAAAAAAAGGAGATGATATGATGTCATTTATCCAAGAAACAAATCCCATTGAAGGTAATGCATTCGAACACAAAAGGAGGTAAGAGGCCTTACAAGTGATTGAAGTTGCTTCTTGTGACCACACATGAATCTTCTTGGCCAGCTGGTTTGATTTGAACCTTAGAATAGAAGCACAATGAATTCCAAAGTTCCCAGTTTAACATAGAATTAGAATGTTAGAAGGCCTAAATGAGATTAATGAATACACTTATCAGGGAGAAAGTGTCACCAGTGAGGAAAAACAAGGCAATTTCATGGAATACTGAGATACCATTGAAAAGAAGAAGAAGAAGAAGAAGAAACAAGTTCAAAGGCTGCGATATGCTACCTCTAATGAAATGTCATAGTTTTTTGATATCTTTTCAGCAAGATATGGTAAGGGCTGAGGATCCTGTAATTCACAAGATATGTCAAAAAGCATGTCAATGCTGCATAAAATTTGGACCAAAATTATGAACTAAAATGGTTTTATGTTCTGTAACTAACTGAGATAAGCTATACCTGTTTTGGGGCATCGCAAGCAAATGGCTCTAGGGCATCAAGTGTCACAATCCAGGGGGACATTGTTGTACCTATTTATCACATAAGAAAAAATAAGGCCAAAAAAAAAAAAAAATTATACATGCAACAGAAGGTTAATAGTCAAAATTTCATATCCTGAAACCAAAATCAACCAAAGTATTCAGGAGTTGGAGAAGTAAGGTTTCCAGCCTTACCGAAACTCTTCCCAAGAAACGGCCCAAGAGGCACATATTCCCATGATTGAATATCTCTAGCTGTCAAAACCAACTTCTTATGATATAGTGATATTACAACAAAAAAATTGCAGACAGAAGAGCATGGTGAAGAATATATACCACTCCAATCATTCAACAATACAAGTCCAAAAATATGATCTCCAGCTTCATTAACATCCACAGGTTTTCCCAATTCATTTCCAGGACCAACTACAGCAGCCTGCCAGCAACAAGAGAGCCAGTATAAATAAACAAAAAAAAGTCTCATATTGTAGAACTACATACAGGAAAATAGCATAGACATAACAACAGATAGAGATTTAGGGAAAAATAATGATAAACTTGTCATCGTATAATAAAAGGCTAAGTGGCTAACCATTTCTAATTCAAAGTCTAGCTTCCTTGAAGGTCCAAAATATGGTGGGGTGTTTCCACTTGGATGACCTTGACCTCTGGAAACACAAAAATGCAGAAATACAATTAGGAAAACAAAAATCCATCAACCAAGCACAGTGATACTGATGCTTAAACAGTAAATAAAATAGAATAAAAAATAAAAATAAATAAATAAACCTCCAACCTTGGTCGAATAATATCTGTCCCAGATACAACAATAGACGACGATCGTCCATGATATGCAATGGGAAGATGAAACCTGAAAATCAAGCGTGACTCCATAAACTTGAATGTCTAGGTGGAATGACATATTAATAAATCAAAGTTTACACATAACCAAAAATTTATTTCCCATCTCTCCAAAAATCATACCAGTTTGGATTAATGGCGTTTTCTGGTCCCCTAAACATTATTCCACAATTCCTTGCATGATGCATTGACGAAAAGAAATCCGTATAATCCCCTATCACAATCGGAAGTAGCATTTCTACTTTGCCCTATAAATTCAGCAACAAAACCAACATTACAGAAACAACAATCTCTACACAACTAATCCCACATTAATATGTCTTTACTTAGCTTACCATCGGAACAAGAGATTTCTCCCTTAGATTCGCATTATCACGCAACTTAGGCTCATCAGCTACATCGGAAAAATAACAAAAACTACATAATTATAAAAAAAAAAAAAAAAAAAGCTCAAATTAAACATAACTACAAATTTATAAAAATAATCATGCCTGATAATAAATTTTGAAGCGTAGCACGTGCTTCCTTCCACGCCGGCCTTCCCAATGCTAAAAACTTGTTCAAATTCGGCTAGAAATAAATCAAATTAGAAAAAAAAAACCAAAATTATCCAATAATAATAGTAATATAATAAAAACATGATCATAGTTAATACATTGAATTCTTGAATTGTTCAAAAAAATTAAACAAAAAAGCACTAGATATTGCATGATTAATCAGCACAGAGCTACAAAACTACGTCGTTACTGTAAAGAAAGCTACTGCAACGGACCTCTTGGAAGCAATCAGAGCCGGAGAGAAACGGACCGTCAAAAAGGCCAGCATCAGAGATGCTGGACAAATCCAACACGTAATCGCCGATTGCTACACCGGGTCTAGGGGTCGAACCGGGTTCAGGCTTGAAGATACCAAACGGAAGGTTCTGGATAGGGAAGTGAGAGTCAGGGCTGACTTCGACGAAAGATTTCAAAGCCATCGTTGACAAAAGACGGTGTCGTAATAGGAATGATCAGTGGTGAAATAGTGAGAGTTTCAGAGTGGAGATGAGACAGTGAAGTGGAGTTACGGAGGGGCGTATTTGTAATTCAGAAAGTAGTCTGTTTCGTTTAATTTGCTTTATAGGAAATACTTTAGTCTCCAATCTATAGTAATGTTCTCAATTCGGTATCCAACATAACTTTTTAGGCAATTAAATCCCCAATGCATCGAAGAATCCTCAATTTGATCCTTTTTTCGACAAATTTTCCTAACCCTGGTCCCCACAATATAGCTGGATTTAGGCATATTTAGTGGAAGAAGGATTAAATTGAATACATTTGGATACAATAGAGACCTAATTGGTTTAAAATATAGAGTTGGAGAAACTAGTTATAGATTGGGGACTGATTTTTAGGTTATACCTTTTTAATTTTATTTAGTGGTTTGGTATGGCACCCGCGTGGTAGTGGGGATTAACGGCTACGAGGGCGCGGTGGATGTAATGAGCGAGGCATAAGGGTAGATGGCTACCGATCCTTCAACGTAATGCTCATCCCACCATCCTTTTGCGATCCCAAAATTGTAGGTGATTCTTCAATTAACCATGGTTAAGTTTATATTAAATTATTAAATTAACCTTTGTAGTTTTGAAAAATAAATAAATAAATTCTATCTCCTTCAAAAATTAATAATTTAATTCATTAATAATGATCATATTTAATTTAATATTACTTTATTTCAACAAATCAATTATTTCATTTCTTTACTTATTTTTTTAAATAAAAAACAAAATAAGAGGAAATGAAACAAAAAGGATTAAATGGCAAGAAAATTTAAAAATATAAGACTTAGATAATTAATTTTCAAAACAAAAAAAGTAATTAATTTGTTTCTCAAAATTTAAAAGACTAATTAATGATTTACTCTTAAGTTTATGATATATATATATATATATATATATATATATATATATATATATATATATATATATATATATATATATATGTAATTTACTCTTTCATTTTTTTTATTTAGAACCCTCAACTCTTTAAATTTTTTTTTACTTTAAATCTTTTTTATAATGCCACTAATTAATAATTGATACGTGATAGGTAAAAAATATTGAAAAATAAAAAGTAACATTCTAATTACTGACTAATAAAGTTTAACAAAAAATTAGAAAAAAAATCTTTAAGAATAAATAGTTTCAATCAAGAAAAAAAATTAAAAATATCAATAAAAAATACAAAATAAAGACATTAAAACATTCGAATGAAAAAACTAAAAATTATTGTCATTATTCAATATGTAATAAAAATGTGATTAGCAATTTAGATTTTTGCAGTATTTGCTAGAAAATTACAATATAAAGAGTTGGCTAGGCATATTAAGGTGTATTAACCTAATCATTAATCATTAAAGTCATCGATCAAAACCCGATCGAGTTAAAAAAAAAAAAAAAAATTGATCTCACCCTTTTACTAAAAATACAAAATAAAATTTGACACGCGGATCAAAGGGGTGACCAAATGATTTGAATTTTTACCCCAATCAACCTTGGGCCGGGCTCCACTACAATGCCTTGCAGCCACATATTTCTTGCTGGGCTTAGCCCACATGAGTTTCTGGTTGCCTGACTGCACTCTAAATTAGCCACGTTTGCCAGTTTTTTGGGCGCATAAGGAACCAAGCGACACCGTTTCTCTCGTAACCTCTCTATAAACAAACTTTCCCTTTCACCTCTTTCCCATCTCCTCCCCCATTCTCTCGTCAAAACTCAAAATTTCCAAATTCTCAATTCCCAAAAAAAAAAAAATCAACGGATCCATAAAGGTGTCTTAATATTATAATTAATTAATTTATCAATCGTTTCAGAAAAACCTAGCTTCTATCAATTTTCCGCTTTCTGTTTGTTTCCCGATAAAGAAAAATTTTAAAAACCTAATCGTTTTTGAACGATTAGTTAAAGAAATGTCTTTCGATCTTCTACTAAAGCCGTCGTGCAGCGGCTGTAGCAGCACCACAGATTTGTACGGTAGCAATTGTAAGCATATGACGTTGTGCTTGACTTGCGGCAAAACAATGGCGGAGAATCGCGGCAAATGCTTCGAATGTGGCGCTACTGTTACTCGCTTGATTCGAGTTCAGTTTCTCTCTCTCTGATTGAGTTTGATTTTGTTCATTTTTGGGGGTTTTTTTGTGATTTTGTTGGTGTTTCTAGGAGTATAACGTGAGGGCGAGTACGAGTAGCGAAAAGAATTATTTTATAGGAAGGTTTGTGACTGGATTGCCGAGTTTTTCGAAGAAAAAAATGCGGAGAATAAATGGTCTTTGCAGAAAGAAGGAATTCATGGTCGTCAAGTTACTGATGTTTTGCGGGTAATCATGATTTTTTAGTTTAATCTCAGTTGTTTTTCTAAGTATTAGTGTTTTTAGGTCTCAAATTTAAGTGTTTTGGATTGTGTAGGAGAAATTTAAGAATAAGCCTTGGCTTTTGGAGGATGAAACTGGGCAGTCTCAGTATCAGGGTCATCTTGAAGGCTCGCAATCGGCGACTTATTATCTTTTGATGATGACTGGGAAAGAGTTCGTTGCTATTCCTGCTGGTTCTTGGTATGCATGCTTTTAATTTTTAAGGAATTTGGTGTTAGTGAATCTGTACTTGAAGTGGGGAGGTTGTAAATGTATGATTTTTATGTAGGAGAATTTCTTTTTTTTAAAAAAAAAAAATTATGTTGGAAGAATTCTGTGGTTGAGATGGGGGTGATTGATGTTGTAATGATTTGAGTTGCTTGACGTATGGATAGGTACAACTTTAACAAGGTTGCACATTATAAGCAACTTACCTTGGAGGAAGCAGAAGAGAAGATGAAGAATAGGAGGAAGACTGCTGATGGATATGAAAGGTGGATGATGAAAGCTGCAAATAATGGAGCTGCTGCATTTGGTGAGGTGGAGAAGTCAGATGATAAGGATGGTGTTTCAAACGGTGGAAGAGGAGGACGTAAAAAAGCAAGCGGTGATGAGGATGAGGGCAATGCATCTGAAAAGGGAGAGGAAGATGAAGAAGAAGAGGCAGGAAGGAAGAATAGACTTGGACTCAATAAACGGGGTGGTGATGATGATGAAGAAGGTCCAAGAGGAGGTGATCTTGATATGGATGATGACGATATTGAGAAGGGTGAGTGTTTCTCCTCGAATGCCATGTTGTGACTGCCAATCTCTTGTATAGATGCCTTTTTTTTGTTGTCCATTTTCTGCCTTCTTGTGCTCAATATTTTCTTCTTTCTGATGCACACAAGACGTCGTGCATTTCTTTGGTTTTCTCCTGGCTTGCAATGAACTTCATCCATGCTGAATTCTACGTAGTTTTTTTTTTAAACCATATTCAGGAATTTGGTTTTTCTAGTGATTCCTGCCTTAGGCACATGTAGTTTATGGTTGTAGGTGATGATTGGGAGCATGAAGAAATTTTCACTGATGATGATGAAGCTGTTGCCATTGATCCTGAGGAACGGGAAGATTTGGCCCCAGAAGTTCCTGCTCCTCCCGAAATCAAGCAGGTATGTATTAGCTAACTATCTAGGTGCTAATCTGAACTACTTGTTTTTATGCCTCAACTTATATAAGTTCTTTGAACATGTTGGTATATTGCAATTTGCTTGATGTGTTATATGTGCTCTTTTCTATTCACATGGTGCTGGTTAGGCTAGTTGGTTTTTTTGGGAGTAGTTTCAAAATGTGGAAAATTTTAGTTACATATAGCTTTTTGTATTGTTGACGGGAATTTTAACATTGAAGCGCTTTTTTTATGCCTCAACTTATATATGCTCTTTGAACTTGTTAGTTTATTGCAGTTTGCTTGATGTGTTGTTGTATGTGCTCTTTTCAATTCACATGTGCTGGTTAGGCTAGTTGGTGTTTTTGGGAATAGTTTGAAAATGTTGAAAATTGTAGTTACATAGAGCTTTTTGTATTGTTGATGGATGCATGAAATGGAATTTTAACATTGAAGCACTTTTTTTTTTTTTTTTTGAATTGGTAAGTAGGACATTATTATTGATAATTACCCAGGATTTTTCTTATTTGTAATGCTGATAATAACAGTAAGGTTTTTGCATGTTCTTGCAGGATGAAGAGGATGAGGATGAGGAGAATGAGGAGGGAGGACTGAGCAAATCTGGGAAAGAGTTGAAGAAGCTACTTGGGAAAGCAAATGGTCTAAATGAGTCAGATGCAGAAGATGACGACGACGATGATGATGACGTGAGTTTTTGTGATGGCTGATTTTATGCATGTTCAATTGAGAACTTAAAAGCACTTTTAACATGGGTTGCTGTACCTGTTTTCTATTTGCTTTAATCTTTTGCTTGTATTTTCCTGTTGCAATATGAAAGTGCATCGTGTTATCAGGTGTGGAATTATTATTTTTTTTTCCTGAGACAATGGGAATCAACTTATATGATGCCTGAATTGACATTTTAGTTTGTAAAGGATGCTTTGGTATTCTGGTTTATGTCTGTATCTTCTTTCATTTATGGTGCTCTTGTTTGGTCTTATCAGATGGATGATGATATTTCTCCTGTACTGGCCCCAAAGCAGAAGGATGTGGTGCCGAAGGAGGAACCTGCTGACAATAGTCCTGCAAAACCAACTCCTGGTTCTGCTAAGGGAACCCCTTCTACCTCCAAGTCAGCAAAGGGGAAAAGAAAACTGAATGGTGATGATGCAAAAACTTCTAATGGTGCACCTGCGAAGAAGGTGAAAGCAGAAAATGTATGATGCTTTTTCAAATATATATATATATATATCTGAAACAATTTGCTTTGCTGTCGAATGTCTGCTCTGACCAATTTTCCTGCTAACTTTATTGTTCTTTGGAAGCAGGGAGTAAAACCTACTGTGAAAGAAGAAAGCTCTCCTGCTATGAAAGGTAATGCAACTCCTAAAGCAACACCATCAGCGTCAACATCAGGGTCTACTGGACCTGTCACTGAAGAAGAGATCAGGGCTGTTTTGTTGCAAAATGGACCCGTAACCACGCAGGATCTGGTTGGTAGGTTCAAATCACGACTAAGGACTCCTGAGGTATGCTCTCCCTTAGCACCATTCAAGCTTGCTTCATGTTTCCTTTACTGTCACTCAAACTGGTTTGTTGTGCTGTTGCAAGATTATCCATGGAAGCTTTATTTTCAGCCAATACATGGCTTGTTTGTTTTCTTTTTTTTTTCCTGGTTTAACTTTAGATTAAATGACTTTTTATCCTTATAATCTGCTAATTTTGCCATCCTGTGCTTCTAGTATTGGTTACTCTTTTAGGATTATCTGTGGGGTTATGCATGCTTTTAGAATCTCTATTTTGTGCATGATGGGATGAACACACCGTTTGGAACACAACTGTGCTAGGATGTTAGTGTCATGCCAGGAGATTTTTTTTTTATCACTAAAGAGGGGGTTCAGTTCGACTTCCATAGGAATCAAATGAGCTTGAGACCCCATGCTTTAAGCAAGGGACCTCCACCAGTCCAACCAAGGTTGGATGGGTGGTACAGGAGATTGATTCAGATAGGACACTCAAGTTCCCTGAAATGTTTTGGATGCTTTAATTCCTAACCCAATGCCGCGCCCACCACCCACACCCCCCCCCCCCCCCCCAACCTCTCCCAAACCTGAACCATCCGCTGTCTCTGTTTCTGACTGGTGGAAGCTCATTGGTGCAGGACAAGAAGGCTTTTGCAGATATTCTGAGGAGAATTTCTAAGATTCAGAAGACCAGTGGATCTAACTATGTTGTGTTGAGGGACAAATGATAACTTTTTCTTTGTTCCCACATTCTCACTTGCTCAATTTAGCCCACAAAACTGCGTTCCTTTTTTCTTTTTCAAAAAAAAAAAAAAAAAAAAAATCATATTACTGTCGTTCTGTAACTTATACTTATTTAAGGTCATCCTTGTGACTTGTATTCAGACTAATGTCTTTATGATTTGATGATGAAAAACTATACTTGTAAAATGTTCACTTTAGTAAAATATATTTGTTAAAATTTCTGTACGCTGTTACATTTTTTGATGCTCCTGGATGTATGGATGGTGGGGATCTTGTGTTGTGCTCAAATATTTTGTGCCGAAACCCTAAGCCTTCTTCAGCTTGTTTCTGACTGAGCCTTGCGGCGATTATTCTGAGGTGATACTAGTTTGATGGTGGTCCAGAGGTGGAAGTATAGTTTTAAATAATGGTTGTTACATTATATAATAACGGTTATGTAATGATTTTGGAACATTTCATGCTCATTATTTTCATTATTTTAATTCGCGATTTAAAGCTATGGATGGAAGATTGGTTCTGCTTGTTCATATGTGGTGCAAAGCATCCTTCAGCCTTTCAAGGCATCAAAACGGAGACTAAGAAAATGTAAAAATGGCTATGCTTTGCAAATCAGCAAGTGTCAATTTTACAGTGAAGTTCTTGAAATCTTTTCCTAGAAGTTATATCAAATGAATGCGATTGGGTGAGTCCCACTGGTTGGTCGTACCCATCTGATGATTGAGATTTCATTGATAAGCATCTAATGATTGAGATTCATGGGTAAGTGTTTTCGAGGTAAAAAAATAATATAAATATTTATCTTTTTCTAAATAATCACCTCCAAATTTGTTACCAATTTTTTTTTTTTTAAATCTAGAAATTGAATTGATTTTAAGTTCGGAGATTTCAAAACCTACACGCACTTGGAATAGAAAAAACAATTCTACACATTTTTAGAACTGAAAAACAAAATTAAGTCGTACGGTAGAGCCACAATATAAAAAATGAGATTTAAACTTGAACTTTCTAACAGTAACCTAAGATTTATCAACGAAGACAAACTTTATGGACATAACCCATTCCACAATCAAACAAAACATAACATGTCCAAATTAACACAAAAAAGGAAAGTTTCCCAAGTTTTTTATGCCATGCAATAATACATTTAACAGAAGAAGCAAACAAAAGCTCCATCAATTAACACCCAATACAAACTCCAATCTTAAACACCCATGTAGCATAGCCAAAATCCAGCCAATAACAAAGCAAAGCTTGCACCAAACCGGGCTGAACCTGAACTTTCTGGTGCTTCAGCAATAGCCTTGTTAGAGTTTTCTGATGCGACAACTTGTGTGTTGGAGGTAGCGGTATCAGTTTTCCCTTCAGGAACCACCTCTACGTGTAATTTCAGGCCATTCTTGCACTTTTTAGAATGGCTGCTTGTGAAGTAACGGATCCCTTCTTCATCAAGAGAGATCCCATCAATGTCATCTGTGTACATTCTGATTGGATTGCTCACGTTACAGGTTAGGTATTCTTCTTTCGTCACCACCTCAGCTATTTTCCCCTGTGCTGCATGGTGGGTGAACCCTGATCTCAAAAATATTAATTACTGGCAATCAATATCTCCAGGATCAAAAAACACACTTAGTACTAATACATTCTCAAAATCACAAGTTATATAAATTAAAAAGATAGTATATTATGAAATCTAGGGTCTATAACACTATATTATATCAAGATATTTGGGACTTCCAAGCTTGGGATTGGAAAAAAAAAAAAAAATTCATTTGCAGAATAAGAGAGAGGAATTTGCAATTCTAAACAAATTATACACAACCAAAACTGCCATCATTTTGATCAAGCTGAATCTGATATCCAAATAATTAATAAAAAGAAAATCAAGTTGAACCTTTCACTCCATGATTTACAAGCACCCTTCTTTTGTTTTTTTGCTTTTGTTTTTTTCTTCTTTGGACAATTAATAATTCCAAACCTTGATAATTTTCTAAGGAAATCAGGGAAATAGGGGAGGTTTTCCAGGAAAAATGCTACAATTTTTTTTTTTTTAATATACTTTTGATTTCTTTGAGAACAAGACAATAAAACCACATATTGCACCATATTTTTCATAATCTTTACATTTCTCAGCAACCAAATTGAAATTATGAAAATACTATAAGTTTTCCTGGAAAAATGCTACGATTTTCGTCCTTTTGAATTCTTTGAAGTCAAGACAAGAAAACCAAACTGATATATTGCACAATATTTTTCATATTCTTTACATTTCTCAGCAACCAAACGGAAACCATGAAAATACTGGAGGTTTTACTGGAAAAATGCTACAATTTTTCATACTTTCGAATTCTTTGAAACCAAGACAAGAAAACCATTTATTGCACAATATTTTGATATCCTTTACATTTCCCAGCAACCAAACTGAAATCATGAAAATACTGGAGGTTTTCCTGGAAAAAAGCAACAATTTTTCATAATTTTGATGAATTTTTTAAAACCAAGACAAGAAAACCATATATTGCACAATACTTGCATATCCTTTACTTTTCTCAGCAACCAAACTGATCTTAGTTTCAAAATAAAAAATCTTTCTGAAAAAACAATATTTGCAATATCCTTTACTTTTCGCAGCAACCAAACTGCTGTTAGTTCCAAAATAAAAAATCTTTGTGAAAATGAAAGAGAGAGAGATAGAGATGGCTTACAAATTTTATCTCCAACTCTGAAAGTTCTACCAGAGGACCAAGAACCAATATCAGCATAAGGGTCCCATCCACGCTCCCCTCCAACTATATGGTGCACCTCGGCTCCAACACCAAGGCTCACTGAGACTAGAACCAGACCCAGCAACATCTTTTGTATCACTGCCATTTTCAACGACACAACAAACCTTCTTTCTCTCTCTCTCTCTCTCTCCCAAAAAAGAGTTGAAGAGTAGTTGCGAAGAAGCAAAAAAGAACCGTCCTTTTAACGTATTATGTTGCTGATCAACCCAAAAAGAGAAGGGTAGATTGGAGCCGCAGAAGCCAAAGGGAGACCGAAGGGTTTGGTTTTCCTTTACAGCAACTTCCTTTCAAAAGCTTACATAAAAGCAAAGAATCGTAGGTGGCTTGGCACTAGTGGTGCTAGCGCTGTGAATGTGTGCCCTCATAACTATGGTACTCCTTTGGTTTTTCTATGCTACTTCCAATTTTTTTTTTAACTTTACGTTATTTAAAAAAAATGTCATTTAATTTTTAATTTTGGATTGGATTGATATCAAACTATTTTATTAAGTATACATAAATTCTAATTAATTTTTAAATATTTTTTAGTTGAATTACGTAAACTAAAACATTTTACATATGTTTTTTTGTAGCAAAAGAATGAAATAACCATGACTTGAAGTTATGGTAAATGCCACGGAATAGTATATTATAAATTAGTTAGTTTTAGAAAATAAATTAATTAGTTACTTTTATTTTAAAAATTAATTATTTATTTTATTGATATTGATATTAAAATTAGACTAATTAGACTAATATGGTAGAAAAGACAATATAATGATAAGGTAAAAATTAAATATATTTTATTATTGATTTAATCTAAGAAAATAATGAATTTAATTTTGATTTATACGAAAACTGATTTGAAAACGCTTCATATATATATATATATATATATATATATATATATATATATATATATCTTAATTCAATATTAATTTATTTTATAAAATATTTTTTTCTTAATTCTTTTATTTTTAAATGAAAATATATTTTTTTAAAAAAATAAAATAAATTGATAAAAAAATAATCAACTTAAAAAATAAAAATATAATAAATAAATAAATAGTTTTTTAAACTAATTAATTCTTTTTTTAATAAATGGATTTATTTATAATTTATTCAATTATCGAGGCAAACTGATAGGTTTTAGTAATTGGTACTGTTGTACTAGGTATTCTATTAATTACGCTTCAGTACAGCAATAGGTGGCAAAGCTCAGAACCGCATGATAGAATTAATGTTGAAACGACAAGACTTTTTACAGCATGAAAAGATATGATATGATATGATTTATGACACATTTTAGACATAAATTATCTATCTTACTTTTTGAAAAGAAAAACATAAAATTGTTTATCTTACCTTTTGGAAAGAAAATAAAAAAAATATTAAATACTAATATAAAGTAGGATATTATACATCTTGAATTCTTTTTAGAACATGAGATAACAAGATATGCTTGTGAATGTTTGGGTCCAAAATTTCTTAATTTTGAAGACTATTAGACTGTGAGTAATGATTTATTGGAAAAAATTATAATCCATAAGCTAATATTTTAAAATATTTTTCAAATAATTACTTGTAATTTAATTTGAAAATTTATTCATTTTGTTATTTTCTATAATATAGATAAAATAATGACCATCTAATTTTGTAGCTTGTAATTGTAAATTATTTTTTTATTTAATATTTCAATAGTAAGAGTATTCTTGAATCAATTTATGCGTTAATCAAAATTATTTTTTAAAATCTTCTTTTTTTATTAATTTTTTAGAATTATGTCTTTTTTTGGCCTTTTTTTTTTAATCTTCTCTTCTCTTTCTATCATTTTTTTTTTAGTGAACAGCAATCAAGTATCAACCTGAAATTAGAAGTAGAGAAACTAATTTCTAAATAATTTAAAATTCAAGAGAGGTTCAAACCATTTAACAATTTATACACTAGTAATAATAATAATAAAAATTATTGCATTTTTAAAGAAGTAAAACATTTCTAAAAAAGATTAGATTATAAAAAAATGAACTTATTTAGTTTGAGGCGTTGGTTTGAATCTTATTATAAGCTTTTTAAAGAGACCACTTATTAGTCTAAACTTTCATCGATCGTCAAAGTTTGAATCTTATATTTTTTAGTATTGTAATAAATCTTCATCCGTAATGATAGTCGTGATTTTTTTTAACGAGTCTTTAATTTAAAACTATAATATATACAATTGTAAAAAATATAATAATTTTTTGCAAACTGTATTATCAATTATTTATTTATTTAGATGCCCATTTTATGTTTTTTTAAGCAAGATACAAACATCACTCCACACACACACACACACACACACACACACACATATATATATGATTATTTCTTCCACAGCTTTAAGCAATCATTATTCGTTCAATTTTATTTTATGTTTTGTAATTGAATTATGTAAACTAATTAAAACATTTTACATACGTTTTCGTAATGAAAGAATGAACTAACCATGACTTGAAGTTACTGTAGAAAATACTACCGAAGAGTAAGTAATAAATTAGTGGGTTTAATTTTAAAAATAAATTAATTTGTTATTTTTATTTTAAAAATTAATTATTTAATCTATTGATCAGCATTAATTATTAAACACACTTAATTTAAAAATATTTCACTTCATAAATATTTTATTTTTTCATCAACCCTTTCATTTTTTACTTATTTTTTTAGGTTAAAATTAAAATAAATTGAAAATGACAAAAAAAATATTAAGATAAAAAATTTAAAAATATAAAAAATAAATAATTAGTTTAAAAAACTAAAATTTTCATTTAAAAAAAAAAACAAATGGATTAATTTATAATTCACTCTTTGACAAAATGCAAAGTTCTAGTAATTGGTACTGCTGTACTAGAACCTATAATTAATTACGCTTCACCACTGCAACAGGTGGCAAAGCTTAATACCGCATGAAAACATGGGGATGAAATTTATGTTGAAGAGGATAGTGACACAAGAGGATAGTGATAGGCTAGTTCGAGTCATTCTGACCGTCAATTAAAGTTAGTCATGTTAATTGTTTTTTTATATATTTCAAAATTAATTCTTCCCTTAACATAATTAAAGAGTATTTTTTAATAAATATTTTAAAATATTTTAAAATTAAAATTTTAAGAATTAAAGAGTATTTTTTAATAAATAATTTAAGATATTTTAAAAATAAATTTTTAAAAATATCAACCATAATAATAGAATTCTAAACCCGCTCCGTAAATCAACGATTACTTACTAATAAATTATTAATTTATGATTATGCAACATGTATTATTTACAAAACATAATATAATATGATATACTTGCGATTGCGTGGGTCCAAATAATATAAAAAAAATGATATCCTTGCAAATTGTTCGATATTCTATATCACTAACATTCATTTCTTGATAATGATCGTAATTTGTTAGCTAATTCATCATTAACGTTTGTCTTTAGAATACAAATTTTTTTGTAATATCATTTTAACGGTGAATTAAAAGTCAGATATTTTTTGTTATTTGTTTAACACAAAAAATAATGTAAAAATTAATCTAAAATAACTGATGATTTATAAATGAATAAACATGAAAAAGGCTATGATATGATTGATGACATATTTTACGCATAAATTCTATATCTTATCCCCACCACACAGAATCTAGACAAAGTAATAATAATTTAAAAATAAGTGGTTTTATTATTATTATTATTATTATTATTATTATTATTTAATGACTGAAAACCAGCTAAGTAGCCAATCATTCTTTCTTTGTGATATGGTTTTTCTTTAAAGATTCTTTAAAGAAAGGAAGTCATGTGCGAAATAACGTGGTAAGCTTGGAGGAGCAATTTGCTTTTTAATAAATTTATAGCCAACCGACATTTATTTTCTAATTAAATATTATGAATTTTTTTCAGACCCATAATCACATGTAAATCACAGAAAACAAGTGACAATAGTCTGGGAATATCAATGAGGTCCTTAGGGTATATATATATTAGATGATCTACACACATTAGCTGAATTTTAAATCATTTGATAATTAGCAATTTAATTTTTGATTCTGTATTATATATTTTTTAATTATTTTTATTTAAAATTGGATTTTTTTTTTAGATTTTCGTCAATTCTAACCTATAAATGGAGTTGTCTAATAGTTAAAAATGTATCAAAATTTATGGATGTTTTGCTTATTCTTCCTAAGTGATGCATGTTTTTAGATTGTTTATTTATTTATATATGTTTTAAAATATTTATGTGATCAAAATTTTAAAGGATACATTTTTTAAAAATATTTGTAATTAAAATATATTTTATAAAAAGTTATCCAAATACAATTCTTTAAAAAAAAGATATCTTAGAAAAATATAAACAAAAAAAAATAGTGATATGGTATAAAAATTAATAATTTTTTTAATATGTGTAAAAACTTAAATAAGACAATTTCTTTAAAACAAAGGAATTAATATTTTTAAATAAAAAACAAATTTTGCAGATAAAAGAAACATATCTATAAATATTGGCATATTTTTAATTAAATCACGTATACTTATACTATTAAAATTAATAAAAATATAAAAATTTAATTTTAAATAAAAATAATTGAAAAAAGGTTTAGAAAAAAATTAATGGAAAGTTACTTGTCAAGAAATTTTGGCCGGAACGGGTCGGTACCCGTCAATTCAACTTTTTGTGTACCAGATAAGGAAAAAAAAAAAAAAGTTAACTTTTTATGGGATTCAAATTCAATTTATAGTACAAATGCCAACATCCAGTTGTCTTTTGTACAAATCAATGTAATTTAGCACACCTAGACGGTCCAAAATGTACTGATCATGAATTCATGACAGCTTTAGCAGCATTCATAGTTTTTAGGCCAAGGCTATTCCCATGTCATCTTCTGAACATATATGATACCTTCCTCTCGAATTTCATCCGTTGTCATCCAGTTTTGAAGCTTCAGGTGACTTTCTGAGTCTCTTGTATCTTAATCCAGAAGTATCTAACCAAATTTCATTCATTGTCGTCTGTCGTCTGGTTATGATCATCCAAAAGGATCTATAGCAGATAATGTTGAAAAAACATTTGTGATCAAACACTATCACGAATTACGATTTATTATAATAATAAAATAATAATTACGATTATATAATGTCAAATTTCATCTATTATCGTCTAATTATGATCGTTCAAAAGAATCGATAATAAATAATATTAAAAAAATAATTGTGATTGATTAATATCATGAGTCGCGACTTACTATAATAGTAAAATAATAAAATGTTCTTAAATCGTTATTTAAATTTATTATGATAAATACTTCTTTATTTTTAGAAAATATAACTTAATAATCCAAAAGTTGGATTTTTTTGCAAGATATATATCTGCTGGAATTTGGGATCTAAGTAAATAGTGTCAATTCATAGTGAACCTTCTCCTAGAGGCTCCTCCAAAGTCTCAATCTTGTTTGAATGTGAGGAAGTTTCGAGTGCAATTACGACAAGAAGCTTGTTTTTGTTGGTTTTCTTTGACAATAACGGAGTGGGAGATTCATATAAGATAAGATAGACAAGCTCTTTTGAAGAGTAATATGGATGGATTTGTTCCTTACTTCACATTCCAACTGCAAGAATCCGACTATTATCAGAACTCAAATGTTTACCTATAGCCATGATCCCAACAGTAGTTCCAAATAGTATGTAACAGATGTTATTTAAAGGATTTAGATATGTTTGTTCATTTCTATTATAAGGTGTTATAAAGATTCTAACGATATTTAGCTCAAATAACGACAATAATGACCATTACCATTATATAATATCGTTATTGCCGTTATTTGAAAACCAACAACCATTATATTATTATTTGAAAAAATAAAAAAAATTTATGCTTTTTCTTTTATAATAAATTTATTATCGGATGTTAATGCATTCACGATAATAGTTATCATAATTAATTTTTTTAATGCTGTAAAAAGTTGTAAACCATGATGTAATCAAGATTGTTTTTACAACTGTATTCGTAATTTAAAATTATGATTAAATGTTCATCTATCACAACCACTTCTGCATTATGCTGCAAAGTGGTCGGCAGATTTGTGATAAGGTGTTTGAACTTGGGATTTATTGGATCATCACATGAAATTTCATTTTTTTCTTCCAACACTTCTTTTTCAAAATTTTAGGGATCATAGGAGCTCCTTATAGCATTTTCTTCCACTTGAAGATAATGTTAAAAGGGAAATTCAGTACTAAAATTTACACCAATTAAACGACATAGATGCAAAAGGAAAGGAACATCACAATTATCCAAGAAAATCAAGAACAAGAAGCAAACCAGCCGTTACATAGATCAATCTTGAGCACTCTCCATTGAGTTCTGTGGCGAGTGAAATATGATTATATCAGCCTCTTCAGGCAGTTTAAAGCTCACCTTCTTTCCTGGCTTCCCACTTTGGGTTCTGCTAAATGAAGTAACTGAAGAAACAGTAGAATAGTCTTCTATATCAGCAACTTGATGATCAAGCAACAACAGTCTGTCCTTGGAGAAACTCTCTCTTCCTCGAGTGGAAACAGATGGGTGTACCCTTTTGGACCCATGTTTAAGAACACAAAGCTCGCCACCTTTTAAGTGCTCTGCCTTCAAGCTAGGAGAGGTTAAAAGCCATTCCTGTAGAGTCAACTTGCTTACTTTTGTACCCTTTTTCTGTTCTTGGTGCACTTGCCTTCTGTTCGGGACCTTATTTCCTTTCAAGCATTCTGGCTTTAATGGCTCAAAAATGGATGATCCACATCCACAACCAAAGGACTGGCCTGCTTCTGGCTTCTGCTCAGAGCTTGATGGCTTGCTTAGCTTACATCCCATTGGATTCTGCTAAGAGAATCAGCAATGTAATACATAAATGGAAGGATAAGATGGGGAACGGCTTAAATCATCGTTTTTCTGAGCAATATATAAGGGAAAACTGCGACGGAGAAGCCAAGAAAAAAGAGAACAAAGTTACCTTAGTAATCCCCATTATTTCAGTACTATTTTGTTAATTAACCTCATTTTGTTGTCTTGTACTTAAACCTTTCTATATGATTATGTTTATAGTATTAAGGGAATTGCATAATCGCAATAAGTGCACGTTGCATAAGATTGGATGGTAGCATCAGTCGTGATAATTGGGCAAAGCAATCCTCTGATATTGTTTGTTTTCTACTAATTACCATTATCTCAGTGTCCATGTCAGTTTCTTGGCTTATATCCCCAAATGGATCAATTTGACAGACAACGGCGATGAACTCAAAGCAATTCGTTACAAGAAATATTAATTAAGTCGAGGTTCAGTTTCCAAGTTGTGGAATCAAGGAAGTTGGTTGTCTTTGCATGAGGGAATAGTATTTCAGTTCTTGTCTGATGGTTGAACTAGGTTTAGAATCTTTTTGTCATTAGAACAGCCAGTTGTCTTCTGCTTGACTTAGAATCAATTGATTCTAACAGAAACATTTGTAATTGGCTGGTGTTAGATCTTAGGACAGGTAGGTTCCTGCCTTGCTGGAAGGCTATGTGCCAGCGACAAGGTCTTTTAGTTCACACTTGGGAAAACAGAAATTTGAAGTTCCCGGGAAGACAAAGTTCTGTTTCATAGTTGCAGTTGAAATACACATGATACTTTCTACGCTGCTTGAACCGTAGGCTTCCGGTTTGTCTTGGCTTCTTTCACCCCTCACAGAGCTGGATGATAGATTTAGAACAGTTAACAATCAATGAACTATTATAAGAGCAGATTATGGAACACATCACACTTTAAAGAATCCACCATCATTCATTGACGACAGAGAACTTTTCCCATTTTACTCGAAAACTAAGAGCAACAGTTTGCTGGTGAATTGTCCATGCATAAAAGAGATCATTAAAGATCAAAGATCATCAGAACTTGCAACCACAAGCAGTGAAACCATTAACAAAGCCTAAGGAGAAGCATTTCCTGGAACAGTCTGCGTAGCTGCTTAGTCATAGATTTGTATACCATGTACACGTACGGTCCATCGGTAGACTTCATGAGAATCTAAAATTTACTTAAGAAATGAATACGTAAAAATTTCAACACAAGACATGATAAAGTTTAAGGTAAATTCAGATCAACCACCATTAATATCTCATAGTACTGTGATTCTAATCAAGCACATGGTTTTGGAAGTCTCATTTGCACGAAGCATTCTGAGAACAGGAAGTACAAGCATGGAATTGCTCTAAAGCACTGATGTACTGAAAAGAGATACAGAAGAGCTTGAATCAGGAAGTCTCAGCAGCAGGTTGGGTAACTCCATACTTCACCAACAGCTTGCTTAGAGTGTCGGGTGAGCAAACTTGGTATTTCACATTCCCAGAAGGAGAAAGGAAAACCTCAGCCAGTTCAAGCTTCTCTGAAGTAAGGCTTGTACTATCCATGGTTTTGCTGAGCACCTTCAAAGCGAGCTGAACAGCGTCTTCCCTTGTGATCTCATCCTTGTAATCCTGCTTTAGCATGGATTGTGCAGCCTGGTTGTTTGCACCAATTGCTGCAGCTTTCCAACCAGCATAATTTCCACTGGGATCACTCATGTAAAGTTGGAAACCATAATTTTTGTCCCATCCTGCAAACAGAAACGACACACCAAAGGGCCGAAGACCACCAAACTGTGTGTACCCTTGCTTGGTATCACAAAGGGATTGAACTAGCTGCTCTACAGGCATTGGCTCTTGGTATGCAAAGGTGTAGCGTTGTGCTTGGATCCTAGCAGTGTTGATGAGGATGTTGGCATCAGACATAATTCCAGCCACAGCACAAGCAACATGATCATCAATCTTGTACATCTTCTCAGTGGAAGTTGAGGTTTGCAATAGCTTGGATGTAACCTTCTTTTCACCAACCAAGACAACACCATCTTTGGATAATATTCCTATTGCGGAACCAGCATTTCCAATGGCCTCCATAGCATACTCAACTTGGTACAGGCGTCCTTCAGGGGAGAAGATTGTTGTTCGGCTATCATATCTCCTAGACATTTTTAGTTATACTGAAAGAAAAGAAGTTAATAAGCACAAGCAACAAACAGAACAAAACTAAGTTCTTACACTTGCAATAAATAAATAAGAAAGGCTAGAAAGCAGGATTGGGGAATCCACCACAAAAGAGTCAAAACTCACACAGAAGATTATTTAACTGCAAAAAAATTAAAGCATGCAACCCATTAGTGGAAGCAGAGATTGAGCATATACTAAAACAAAAATTAGCGCTACTCTTAGACAATAGCATAGCTAGTTATAATCAGCACAGAAGTGAGAACATAACACAATCGGAAAAACATTTCAGAAATAACTAGAACATCCAGAACCAAGAACAAGTCAAACAGCGTGTATTTTTCCATAAACTAACAAGGTAAATGTAAGATATGCATGTTGCAAATTGACAATATGGTCAATTCTTCATTTTTCTAATTGATTAACCATAAAAGTTAAGAGATGCAAGCATTGGGCCCATTCAGCCCTTTTAAATCTCATTTTCATGCGCATCCTTTTTCAAAGAAAATATTTGAAGGAACTGAGCAGCATTTTAAATGATAAAACACACCTCTTGGAAAAAACATACCTATTTTCAGTTCCCAAGAGCCAAACACAACAATAGAAGAACATGTATTGCATACACATGAATGAATTTGTAAAGTAGGTGCATAAACTCAAGTTTCTTAAAGGAGAAGAGATCATTAGGAAACTACATGTGCAAATGCTAAAAGTTCCCAAAACAAGTTGAAAATGCCAACAACTATGGGTTATAATAACTCAAGAAGTCACAAATAAATAAGGAGGGAATGAATTTACGAGCATAAAACCTTAAAACTGTAATTGAAGGCAAAGTTGACCCTTCATTCAAGTCTAACCTTGACCATCCAAAACAACATAAAAAAGACAGCGAAAACTCTAACTAAAAAAATTACTATGCTAAATTAAATGGTTAAGAACAAAACTGTAACAAAATCCATATTCCAAACTGTGTTTTCGTACCATTGTTCAACTCCATTATACCTGTCAAAGGTATCATAAACGACATATAACAAATCATATTAGAAAAACAATCCAAACATCAGCAATCTTTAGCAAACAGAACACTAGATAGTTCTGCAATTGCTATTTCACCTCAGACATTCAATCAACGATTGCTTGGAAAGTTGCCAAACTAAATTCAAAATCTGTTTTGTCAAACATAACCCATTTTATGTCTTTATAGTACACAATCAACAATATTGTTTTCTCTTTCGAACTTCCAACAAAAACAATTTGATCCCTAAAAACTATACAAATTACAACGAAAACACAAGTAACAGCACTAACCCATGTTCCAATTCAGAGTCTAGCTTCTAAAAATACTCAAACCCAACTAGGTTTATTTCAACTCCAAAAGTTCGACCAACATTGTATAGTAAATTTGCCAAATTATATTCAACATTGTTTGTAAGAAATAACCCATTGTCCCATTCTTTATCCTTCCGGTACACCATCAACAATTTTTTTCTTCTTTTTTATGCTTCCCTCAAAAACATTTGATCCCTAAAAACTCTACAAGCTTCAATGAGCACACACACAAAACAACACTAACCCAGTTTCCAATTCAACCTTCAGCTTCCAAAAATCAAATCAAACCCACAAAAAAAAAATCACCTAAAACAATTAGCATTACCAACTAAAACCCTCCAACCAAGAACAAAATCAGAAAAACAAAAAAGCAAACACCTTTACTTGCTTTACCACTATAATAACCCAAAAAACACAAACAGATCCATCCAAACAATTACAAAACTAACTCAATAACACTTAAAAAAAAAACCCATGTTCAAATTTCCAACAAAAACCATAGTCACACACAAAAACGATTACAAAAAGTCTAAATCTTGAACACCCATTTCACGAAACTAAGAAAAGAAAAGACCAATAGCATTAAGAATCGAAAGGTAGAGTTAATTACCTGTAAATTGCAAGTTATTAAGAGGATTCTGCTGTGTATTATGATGCGAGAGGTTTAGAAGGACTGACAAAGCTTTGGCTTCTTTGCTGTTTATACGGGTTTTTTGCTTTTGCTCTAACTTCTTGCTCAAGAAGAGTGAAAACATTCTGAGACTCGGTGGTTGTCAATACTCTGATAAAATTGGGTTTGGGCTTAGTTTTTGGGCTTATGAATGGCATTCAGCCCATTAGATATTTTCTTTTTTTCATTTTTTTAATTTAGTTTCTGACTTTTTTCTTTCTTTCTTAGATTTAATTAGCTCGTTAGCATGGATCAATCAGAATTAACCCTTCATTTGTTACTTAAACTAATGTTATTAAAATTGATCCAATAACAACAAATTGTTGCCCAACGGTAAAACTGGGTTCGGGCTTAGTTTGTGGGCTTATGAATGACATTCAGCCCATTAGATATTTTTCTTTTCCATTTTTTTTTAATTTAGTTTCTGACTTTTTTTCTTTCTTCGATTTAATTAGCTCGTTAGCATGGATCAATGAGAATTAACCCTTTATTTGTTACTTAACCAATGTTATTAAAAATTTATCCAATACCAACAAAACGCTCAATAGTACTAGACCTGATTCTCAGAAATTTTTTTTTAACCGTATAAGATTTCAATTTTGAAATCATATTTATGAAAATGATATAAACCTTGTCTCTCTAATATGGGTTGTAAATACTCGAAAAAAAAATTAATATGAATCTAAATAATGATCCCATTAAGCTATTAGGTCATTGGATTACTAGTTTAACTAGGTTTATCAATCCAATCATTTTATTAATTATATTACAATATAAATATTTTTCTATATATAAAAAAGGGTAGACTAATATTCTTTTAAAATCGGTTAGATTTTTATAGTAGTTTCAACTTATTGTTTGGCAGATTAACATTCACACTCACATGTATTATTAAAGAATATAATCTAGATGTAAGGAGATTGTTTTTATTTATCTAAAACCAAAATTCAATTCCTACTATCTATGAATAATTAACTAGACTTATTTCTTGATAGTACAAGATTTGAGCTCATTTGGTCTAAGAGAGAGTCCGGTGATCGATCAAAAATTAAAAATGTTTTTAGTCTCCATTAATCTTAAAACTGGTTAGGGAATACCCCATTATATATATACACTCGGTAACATGTAGATATCATCCAAGAATAAGACATAATTAAAAAAATCCTATAGTCGATGCTAAATAGATGAAATCCAAGGATATTGATTGATTCCGTATAATAGTAATAGAGTATTAATGTTCTTTTTAATTTCAAAAATTCAAGTGGGAAAGATCTATGTATATCCGGTAGGAGATATTCACATGGTAATAATTATTTAACAAAATGATTTTTTTAAAAAAGCTCACATATTAAGTTATATAAATGAGATGATTCCTATATGGCACAAAGTACCTTATTTTGATAAATAAGTTTAAAATTATCCTATTATGTTAAATAAGATTTAAAAATGCCTTGATATGAAAAAAAAAAAAAAAACAACTCCAACATTTAGAGGGCTTCCAAAAGTTCTAATTAAAATTTGTTTATTTTTGTTTATTTATTAAGGATGTGAGTTAAACAATGTTTTGGAGTCGCCATCTAGTATTAAAATAACCGAAAAACTTAAAAATGATACCGATTTAGAGAATCTAAGGTAAAGAGTTGATGATGTTTTTAGAAAGATATCAATCACCAAAAGCATAATTTTCGAAAAAAAAAGGTACTACGTCTAGTTCACTTCTAAAAATTTATCTCCTAAAAATTTTTATTTTTGAAAATTTTTTATTCAATTTCCAAATTTATTGCCTAAGCCAATTTTTTTTTTTTTTTGTTAATTGCGGTATCATATTGCATCGATTGTCGGGAATCTTATCAATTCAATATCGGATCCGAGCTTAAGTCTTGACATTACTCGGTATTTTAGAAACAACCTAATTACTAAGGGTGATTAATTTGATTCAATTAACTACATCGGTCCTTCCCTATTAGATAGGAGACTTGTTAAATGAACTTAGCATTGTCTCTTTTTTTTTTTTTTTAATTTTTTAGAGGTGGACAAAATTTGTCAACACCATAGTCAATCCTTAATAAATAGAAGACTCGTTGGTTTGACATCATAACCAAATGAAAATCCACATATTAAGATAAAATTTACAACCTAAATGCTTCTAGTTCTTCGTCGTCACAACCATAGTCGCTCGAGGGAGAGATCGGTGGTTGAAAAGTTTTAACCAATCTCTTTCTTCTTCTTTGATCCGTTTTGACCGAATTCAATGGCTTGTAAAGCTCCAAATTAGACCGAACGAGTCACTAGGATCCGTTAGAGCTTCATTTTGTCCTTTAAATGGCTTAATTAATTTATCCCAAAAATGGAGAAGAAAAATGGGTGTAGGTCACAAGTCGATTCATATTTTCCGACCAAATTTATCAATTTTCAATGTCTTCTTCCACAATTTCGGGCTTAGGGAGGCTACTTGGAGGATGGAGGAATGTTTATGTGTTGGTGTTTGCCTTCGATTTAGCCGAAAAATGGAGACAAAACCGAGTATGATTGCAAGTCGGATGGAGTGAATTTAATTTTAGATCTCGACTTCCTCTGTCATTTTCGAGTCATGGAAATTAGTTGGGGAAGGTGGATATGAGGTTGGGCTCTTAGGGGTGATTGGCATTGGAGAGTGGTGAGTTTTGGGGAGAAGCGAAAACGAGTTCTAGGGGTTGACTCACGGGTTATGGGTTTGGTCTTAAATGCTTGTTTGGTTTTTCTCTTTCGTTTTAGGTAGACGACTTCATTGAAGTTGCAATCGCCACTTCCACTCGCTCATGCTTGACCAATGTCAATTTTAGGTTTTTAGTTCTTTTAATACTAGGTGGTAATTTCAAAATTAATACTTTAAATGAAATATAAGCAAATAATTCTAATTTAAACCCAATTCAAACCTAATTAAATTTAATGAACAATTAATTAACAATTTCTAAAATAAATAAAATTAAAAATCAACCAATTAATC